CCGCACACAAGCGCTATCTCTTGAGTGGCCACAGACTAAAATATAGTGTCACCAAACTGACATAATATTGAGTTACAGGCTTCAAGTCTCAAATTAAATTGAATAATTTTGTTTTCTGGTGTTTCAATGCATATTATATTAGACAATATACATTCAAGACTTAAAAAAAAAATTGGACGAAGCTCGCAACAGATCCTGGTTTATTTATATAACGATTTGATGACTACCTCTTAACTGACTACCTCCGAGTTACCAGTCACCAAATTGACATTTTCACCGTTTAGCACGTTGAAAAAAAGGCTTAGAGTTATTCAAATCTCCTGAGGAATTTTTTCGTGGTTGGTGTGACCTGCCTCTACGCCAAAGTCCAAACATTGAGAGAAAATATTATAATTGAAAGTTTTGAGCGACCAGTTACGCGTCCTTCCCAAATTTTATACCATTAGCTGAAATCCACCCATATGTGCAGTGTGGGAGCCATCCAGTGAAGAGAACTGTTCGAATTTAAACAAGCGTGTTTATTAAGTTTTGAAAGTTACTCGTAAATACAACCGCAGACATTTCGATGCCCGGACAGACACCATCATTGGTGCAAAAACAATAAACAATTACAAATGGACTGCGTTAAACAGAAAGGAACCAAGCCCCATCAGCTATTGCCAAATTCAATTGAGCAATTTCATTTTTTAACATGAAAACGGTTGTGCGGATTTTTGTGTAAATTTCAGTGAAAATTTTCCATGGTACTAAGCAAATTCCTTAAAATTTTCAAAGAAATTCGAACAAACGTTCTCTCGTTAAAAAAATAATTGCCCAGTTAAACTTGGCAATAGCTGATGTGGCTTGGTTCCTTTCTGTTAAACTCGGTCGAGATTTAAATATGATAGCATCTACAAGCGGAAAAATACAACAAAATGAACAGCATATTACAATTTTACAAAAGCCAAGAGAGGGAATGGTGATAGTGAGGGATTGCGCTAACCTGTAAAATCTCAGTTTTGTTTATCAGATGTTGATGGATGATCGGTGGTAAACAGAATTAGGAATGCAATAAAGAAGGAGAGATAGAATAATATACATATTCATGCGCTCAATCGTGCAAAGCATCAACTACTACTACAACAACAGCAACAATTATGAACTAAGTTCTAACCTTGTTTCTTCATAATTGTTGTTGTTGTTGTAGTGGTAGTTGATGCTTTACACGATAGAGTGCATGGATAGCCGTATTTCTAATTCCGTTCACCACCGATCATCTATCAACATCTGATAAACAAAACTGAGATTTTACAGGTTAGCGCAATTCCTCACAATCACCATTCCTTCTCTTGGCTTTTGTAAAATTGTAAAATCCGGTTCATTTTGTTGTATTTTTCCGCTTGTAGATGCTATCATGTTTGAATTTGTAATTGTTTATTGTTTTTGCACTGATCCTGGTGCCTGTCCAGGCATCGAAACTTAACTTTCAAAATTTAATAAACACACTTGTTTAAATTTGAAAAATTCTCTTCACTGGATGGCTCCCACACTGTACATACTTAGGTAACAGTCATTTCTTTACTTTATATATATATTTGCATATCACATGTAGAGTATGGGTGAGTTGTGCTAATGGAGTAACCGGGATTTTCTCATTTTCTTCCATGATGTATTCTCGTCCAAAATGAAACCTTTTCTAGGACATAGATCTCTAGGTAATCATGCAATAAGCAATTTAATTGCCTTTTCCGTCGGCTGAACGAAAATGAGGCATTTCATAAACTGATTCTAAGGGAGCAAGTAAACTTAACATTCTTAGCATTCTTTTTTACAGAGTAATAAATTTGATCAAGTTAGTTGATGGGTGACTCAGCTGAATTCATTCTGCTTGAGCTACAAATCAAAAAGAGGTGGGTGCAAAAACGGCCAAAAATACCTCAAGACATTTTTGAACTTTGAACGCTTCACGTGATAAAGTAGCTCCCTAGGGTAGGATGTTTTTTATGTTTTAAATTTCCGAATTCGAAGGAGGTCCTGGTCTTAAAAGTTGATGTGTGGATACATTAGAAGCCTGGTACAAGGAAAAAAATTAAAACAATTTTTACCCGGTGCTCAAATGACTTAAGTGACACAGGTTGAAATTTGGGATTTTTAGATAAAATAACACTGTTCACCCATTGAAAACGCCGCGTTACGGCCCTGAAGAGCAAAAATTTCGTCCGTTTGGTCGAATCTGCAACACGAAAGCCGCAAAACACCCCAGAAAGGCGCGCGCAACGAGAGACACTAGGAGCAAATGGGCGCGCCGCGCCGGCCGTAGCGCAACGCGCGCGCGCTTCCTCTGCACTGCCTAAGCGACATGCCGCACGCACGCACTAAGCTTATACACGGGCCCGAAAGTTCCCGTCCGTTGCAATGTATAATTACGAATTGACCTGGATACAATTTAACATTAAAAAACAGTTGAAATGTATAAATACATCAAAAAGACAAATTTTCTTTGTAAAATATTGGCTATATGTAGGAAAATCAATTTCAACAAAAACAGTTCAAAGTTAATGAACTAAATAAAATAATCCACAGTTTACTTTAAGGCTTAGAGTCTTAAAATGGTTGATAGACTATTTTAATTATTTTCGTACGGTTTTATTGACTTTGGCTCTGACTTGTAAGAGATCATGAAAATAATTGTCTTCAAATGTGACCCTAGACATTAGTTAAATTGTACGTTCTGGCGGACAGGTGGATTCGGCAACCCTACGTTGTGTCTCACGTTGTTAACAAAGACTCTCTTAGTGTTCAATGTAAGTCTCTCATCAAATAATGCCAAGGGAACCAAATTTTTACTACAGAGGTGCCATACGAGGCTGGATAAATTACGGAACACAACACTAGCTGTTGTAAGTACTCTCGTTAAAGCTGCGAAACTTTTTCAGGTCTACAATGACCTCTGGGTCATTTTTCGGGGTCCCAATACGACATATGTCCTCCTCAATGTGTACCTACGCTGAAGAATGCCCGGTAAGTCCAGGCTTCTCCTCAACTAACATTCTAGGCTTTTTTACAATATCATGGATTTGCCATTTTCATTTCTAGACTCTTGCGCAGCCCCATGGCTATTTACTTCCGAATATCTTGAGGTACAAAAAGTAGTTAAGTCATAAAAGTTGTTAATGATCATGCTAAGAGCAAAATTAAATTGATGTCCACGCACAACAGGAGGAAAGGTAACATCGGAAGGTAATGGAGATCTTGCATGTGTTAGGAGTTAGTGATTTAAGTACTGATTATTACGCACAGTTCCGCGAGAAACACGGTGGTTTCATCAGTTTCCTCCGAGACAAATTCCAAAACTTAAAAAAAGCTCTGAAAGTTGATGCCGTACTGGAGGGGATATCCCACGTTATCCTGAGAGTCCAGCTCTGTATCAAGACAAACTCTCCATGCAAAGAGCGAATAATATACATTGACAGGGTAGCCACTTTGTTTGGGGTTTCCAAAACGAAAAACACGTGTTTTCAGTTTTGACCGCAATCCTGCTGATTCATTTAGATGGTGTGAGTCAGCAATCGCCAACTCCCGATATAAACAAGAGCTGCATTTTCATGATCTCTTACAAGTCAGAGCCAAAGTCAATAAAACCATACAAAAATAATTAAAATAGTCTGTCAACCATTTTACGACTCTAAGCCTTTAAGTAAACTGTGGATTATTTGATTTAGTTTATTAACTTTGAACTGTTAAATTTGTTGAAATTGATTTTCCTAAATATAGCCAATATTTTACAAAGAAAATTTGTCTTTTTAATGTATTTATACATTTCAACTGTTTTTTAATGTTAAATTGTATCCAGGTCAATTCGTAATGATACATTGCAACGGACGGGAACTTTCGGTCCCGCGTATAAGCTTAGTGCGTGCGTGCGGCATGTCGCTTAGGCAGTGCAGAGGACGCGCGCGCGCGTTGCGCTACGGCCGGCGCGGCGCGCCCATTTGCTCCTAGTGTCTCTCGTTGCGCGCGCCTTTCTGGGGTGTTTTGCGGCTTTTGTGTTGCAGATTCGACCGAACGGACGAAATTTTTGCCCTTTAGAACCGTAACTCGACGTTTTCAATGGGTGAACAGTGAACAGTGTTATTTTATCTAAAAATCTCAAATTTCAACCTGTGTCGTTTGAGCACCGGGTAAAAATTGTTTTAAATTTTTTTCTTGTACCAGGCTTCTAATGTATCCACACATCAACTTTTAAGACCAGGACCTCCTTCGAATTCGAAAATTTAAAAAATAAGAAACACCCTACCCTAGGGTGTTTCAAAAATGAGGGTTTTTCCAATTTTTTTTGAAATTTCAACCTGACCCCCTCCCCCCCTCGTTCTGTTCAAATAGGTACAAAAACCGTCTTAGTGAAATTTTGATAAAATCAAAGAATATGTAGAGGTTGCGCCAGATACGCGCCTCTATTAAAAGTAGCTATTTTTAGTTATTTTTTGGCCGGCCCCTTTTATGTGCTAAAAAAAAAAAATTCTTGGGACAAAGATGGCGATTAATACTTTTCTGTAAAACAATTGTAATAGTTACACGTGTTCCTGCTGAAAATTACCTGAATCACATTTTATATCACTTGTAAACGTCCCTTATAAAGTCTGCATTGAATTACTGTTTTCTACTTGAAAGATTGAACCTTCCAACTATCGAGACCACTGCGGCGTAGGTGTGAGTGAAATTTCCGCGTGACTTGAGCGCTGAACGATCTAAATAGGGATAAAGAGTGGCGAAGTTGCATGTGGATTACGAGAAAAATTGTCCGCAGCAGTAATTCCAACGGGAAAATGGCGCTGAAGCTCATCGTTGAATTGCTGAAAAAATCAGGTTTGTTCTTAATCGGGTCGCTGGAGGTGCCCTCAAACACCCAATTTTATCAGCAAGTGCATGTTTTCCTGCGCATCTTTTCACGAAAAATTGATTTACTGGTTTTCAAAACAATACATCGTTTTAATTAATCGATATATAGCTTTTTCATTAGATTTCCGAGAAGAATTTGGTAATTTCTAGCATGAATTCAATCAAGTTCTATTAATTAGTGATATACCCGCAGGCAATAATGGTTTCAATGCATAAGTAATCTTGTGCCCACATACACTTTTATGCGCAAGACACCTACTCTCAAAGCAGCTTATACTGATCATTTTTCAATTGGGACACTAGATGGTTGCCGTAATGCCGGGATTCTCAACGTAGCGCGTCGCGGCAGCCTTGTTTTGTGGCCCATCAGTCTAGGGTGGAGCGAAAAAAGATTTTTTTCGAAATCCGATGGCGGGTAGTGAAAATAAGTTGCCTATTGGCATCAAATGGACGAGAAAAAAATCCTGGATCCATAGGACAACGCTTTTGTCGAAAACATGGGGCTCGAATTTTCTAAATCTCAAATTTTCGTTTTTGCTGTGGTTTTTTTAATAAGATAATTTCTGAATGATTGAAAAGCCACAGCTGACACGTATTTTACGTGTTATGATACGTAATTTGAGCCAGGGAATCGATTTTTGTGATCGAAAAATTTAAATATCGATTTAAAATATCGTTTTTTGCGATACTTTATCCAAAAAAACAATTTTTTGTGTGTAGCCCAAGAAATTTTGATTTATCGATACAAGCCTTCGATAGATCGAAATTTTAACAACTAAAATAGATTCCTCGTGAAAAAAAAAACAAAGTATGACGGGTTGAGTGGTTGACACCTGCGTAAAGTATGTAGAAATGTCGACAACTAAGGCACGATTCGTACGGGTTTTCAAACTGAATTTGCCGAAGAGTCATTCCACGCAATATCTTCCAGGGACTGTTGCTTGACCGACCCTGAGGTTTCTTTTGTTTTTTTAATTTGGTTATTTGTTAATCTATCCAATAGAGGCACGGAAACCATTTTTTCAAATTTTTTGACCACCCTGGGTTCCGTGGGGGCCTTGTACAGTTGAGGTTTTCTGCTGAATTTCGAAAAAATTGGCCTTCACAGAACCGGGCTTATCTCCAGTTCTGTTTAACTTCAGCACGGAATTGAAACAAAACTGACGTAGTATGACTTTATTAATCTACTTTTCTAAAATTTTTGTATTTTCAAGGGAAAAGAAGTTATTTTTGGACTGAATCGAGATGTAGATATGTGAACTACGAAACGGGGAAATCCCCTATTTTGAGGATTTTTTTAAAGGGACGAGAAAGAGAAAAGTTTGAGACCTGAATTTTTTTGTTAATTACCATGCATTAAAGGAGTACGCAAAAAAATTCAGCGAGATGCGATTTGTTATTTTGTTATCATGACACTTTATCTCTCGATCATGTGTTAAAAAGCTCTGAAGAGGGCAATACTGAGATCGCAATTTCTCCGATGGGACACGCTTTAAAAATCTGAAAACTGAAGGATTACGTTTCCGTGAAGGCCGATTTTATCGAAATTTCGCTGAAGACATCAACTCTACAAGGCCTAATACATTACCATCACGTAATACACGGAATTTGGGTCTACAGAGTTAAGCAAAATTCTGAGCGTCTCTCCTACATTCAATGGTTATAAAATTATTATATAAATAGTCAATTATCGAATCCACGCTGAAGCTGGCGCAACCTCTAAATATCATCGAATCAGCCAGAAATTTCTCAGAAAACAGTGTTTTGCCGTTGCAAACCGATTTAGGGAGGGTCCTGTCAAAATTTCAGACCTTCGATTTTTTGAAACACCATAGTAGCTCCCGAGATGCCTTAAACTGGTCGCGGTTGCGACATTGCCGTTTCTTAAAGTAAAAACCTTTAAAAATTCTTCGCATCTCAACCGATTGCAATGAAATATGTTTTGAAAATGTTCCTCTTAAATAGAGCTTTTTAATGGTGTACAGTTATTTAGGTTTACTTGGCATTGGGCGGAACTTAAGAGGTTTTAGCAGTTTTTGGTAAACACAAAAGTTTGGTTTTCATTTTACTAGTCTTGGAATCGATGGAATCATAAACAAAAACCAGACTAAATAAAATTGCAGCCTTTCACCATTCTATCGAGCACAAAATCATCCTTGGGAAACGTCTTGTCTCCAGGATACGACCGCCCAAAAGAGGGCCCCAGTTGGTTTTACGCAATCAGGAACTACTGACATTAGAAAATTCCTGCAAAGAGCCATTAAAATCGCGTAACTGCCGCCCAGTGCTGAGTAAATTCATTGACCCATACATCGCTGGAAAGCTCTATTTAAAAGTAAAATTTTACGTCAAGTTCACCATGTTCTGGTCAAATGCAGCGAAGTTAGGTCGTATTTTTAAAGATTATCACTTTAGATTATAGCCCTGTCGCAACCCGGCAGCCTGAGCTGAAAAAACTGTCTGATGCAAATGTCTGACTGTTCCTTGTAATAAATGGATTATAAAAGAGCCCTGCTACACGATTAATTGAACGCCCTGCAACCCTGTCAGTGGTTTTCGATTGTGTAAAACCAACTTTGAGCGATCGTACCTCCAAAACCAAACATTTTCGCGGGATGATCTTCTGCTTGGTAGAAAGGTGAACAGCTAGACTTTCTTTTAGAATGGTTTTTGTTCAGATTCGTGGATTTCAAGACTATAGTAAGTGATAAATCGTACAAACACAAATGTTTGTTTACCCAAAACTGCAAAAACCGCGTAATTGCCGCCCAGTGCCAACCAAACCCAAAAAACTATACATAATTGGAAAGTTTTATTTAAGAGGAACATTTTTTTTAAAAAAAAAAAGTTCATTGAAATCGGTTGAGATGCAGAGTATTATGAATTTTCGAAGGTTTTCACTATAAAACATGGCAACGTCGCAACCCAGCATTTCCAAGCAAAACTGCCACCAGTTTAATGCATCTCCGGAGTATCTTGTCAAGCGCTCAAACTTCGAAAATACGTGGAGGCATTTTTGGCCGTTTTTTCACACATCTCTTTCCCAGCCTTACTTTGCAATACCATTAAAAATAAAGGCATCCGAAGGGAGGGACATTTTTGACAGGGAGTTTCAACAAGGCTTATGACAGGCTTATAAACTACAAAAAGAAGGAGCTTCATAGTAATTTCAGATTTTTGCTTCCTCATTGTTGAAAAGCGACTGTAAAAAGGAATTTAGCTGACAGAAGTTCCAGAGTTTGAGGTATCTGGCAGACCAGACAAAATCAGCACATCATTTCCCAAATCTTTGTTCAACAGCTCCATATTGACACAATATCTTGTTAAAATCCTTAATGCGTATATTGTGGTGCGTTGGAAGCATTCTGCAAAAGAAGAGGAACAGCTTTAGTTGTAAATTAGCTCAACAAGATTAGAAGAATGGTCTGAGCGCAAATTTCTACTTTTTGGGTCTTCCAGAACTGTAAACGATGGGAGTGTGAGATTTGGACGCAGAAACATTACATGTCAGAATTCAGAGCCATTTTCTTCTTCTTCTTTGAAAGATGTTTCCTTGTCATACTCCCTACTTTCCATATTATGTCCCTGGAGGCTGCATCTTCTTTTTCCATGCCACTGATTTCTTCTCTGCTTGGCTCTCTCCGATTCATCTCTGTGGTATTAGTTGGTGTGGACGGCTAGACGTCCTTCGAAGCCTTAAAGTGTACATAGGTCCGAGTTTTCTACAAAGTTGTCCTGTAGCTATCGCTGGTCAGGAAGGCTTTTAGATGGGAACAAGTTATGCTACAGGAAAGTAAAAAGTTATCCTGGAGCTCATATACAACAACTGTACAGGCAGCTTACTGAGCTGGCTTTGAGTTCTCAGCTAGTAGTATTATACTAACCGGGTTGATCATTCTTTTAATGATGTAGAACCTAAGCAAGAGGTCAAAAATTCGGAAAACAATTTCTTTAGATATGGTACTTATTATCCTTTGGTCCTCAACAACAGAAGAATTGTTTTGAGACATATACTTACAAGAATTCTGTAACTCTGGTGAGCCATGGTTGGAAACCAAATGAACTACTGGTGTTTCCACAAACTATTGCTAGGTCCGGTTCTGAGGTCAAAAGGCTACTTTTGATACATTCATCGATAATTGATTCATTGATAAGACTAATATCACAAGTGGTAGAGCACAGCCTCACAACGGTATCGACGAAAAAACTTTTAGAGTCTTCTTTAGTAAGAACGCTTACTTTTATTTTTGGAGACCACTTGAATCCTGCAAAAATACAGAAAAAAGGGAAAAAATTAATAGGTTTCAGAGGATAGGAATATGAAATTATGTGAACTGAAAGTGCATTATTATGGAAAAGAATACCAACACCCTGAGCTACGACAAAAAACCTAAGAATTCACTATCCATTATCTACTAAAAACTAAAATATGCATTGCAGAAATGTTGCCTGCTCTCCTATATCCTTAAATATTAGCTTTCTGTTTTTTTTTCTTTTTTCAAACTTGTCTGACTTTCCTTTTCTTGAGCTACCCATTGGATTTGTGAATATCCATAATGAGCTTGTTTTGTAATGTTTAATTCCTGCATTTTGAATACTAGAGAATGCACAGAGTGCGCAGGAATTTCTCCGTCTTTTTTTCAGAACAATATTGACCCACGGAAAACGAGCTCAAAGTTGCGTATTTTGAGCTCCCATTAAAACGCGCATCAGCGGGTCACTGAAATGGCCGCGGCGAACGCCCGTCGGAGAACGGCTTCACTCGTTGAGTTGCCTCTGCCACGTCTCGTAGTCCGCACGCGATGCGGCGCGATGTCCTAAAGTACCTGTGCGGCACAGTACGATTTAAACACTTTTAATGCGGTCAACATACCCGTGATGTTTTTGCGGAAATGTCAACTAGAAGGCCCACTGATTGAGGAACAACGTAGTTTGGCCGTTTTTGAGAAAATGCGATTTTTCGCTTTTTTGGCGGGAATTTCGGGTCAAGGCGCTGAAAAAGTCAAGTTAGGCTGTTTTTGTGGCTCATAAATGCATGTCCTGTACATTCTTAGTCAATTAAAGGCCAGCAGATAGCTATTCGTGCATATTGCCCAAAATTCATAATCTTAAATCCACGACTTTCGGGTTTTTGTGGGGTTAGTCAAGGAGAAATCCGAAAAAAAAGAGGCTTAACAAACTTTTCCTACGTAAACGTCTTCAGTAGGTCCTATTGAACAACATACCAAAAGTTTACCACGGTTCGATGCGGGAACACACACCCCCCCCCCCATTGCCTAAATTTCAAAATGGCGACCATAATAAGGCCTCTGGGAGTTCGATTTTTATAAAATATGCACACAGTGTCATGCGAGGTGTCAAATCCTATGTAATTTTGGTCGTAGATTTCAGATATGAAGTCAAAATAGTCCCCCGGTCATACGGGGTACCCCAAATCCAAAATGGCAGCCAATTTTGAAAGACAAGAGGGTGGATTTTTAAAAAGTTCACGTGATAAGGCAAGAGAGGTATCATTTCTGAAATCGTTTTGGTCATTTAAATCATTTATGAAGTCCTAAAAGCCCTCAAGTCAAAGGGATTGCTCCAAATGCCAAGATGACGGCCTGCAGATTTGAAAGGCAGGAGGGTAAATTTTTGAAATGTTTACGTGACATCCCTGGTAAAAGTGAATCAACCTGACGTCAATTAGTCTAGACTCAGGGTAGTTTATGAAACATAGCCTAAAAACATAATGAATCAAATATATTTCCTTTATCAATGAAGTCAACAAAAATTGCAGAAATAAAGGTGTCACCAGAATTACAGACGCCTCACCAGAATTACAAGTACGTCATTAGAAATATCAAATGACGTACAGTTTCCCGCTTTTCACGAATGAAAACATTTTTTATTAATCAAAACAGAATGTACTTACTGATTTCAATGACAGAAAGTGGTGTTATCAAAGGACAGTCGTAGTCAGTAAGGGGTCATTCATAATAGACGTAACAGTGAAAATTGGATATTTTGACTCCCCGTTCCCCCTAACGAATACGTAACGCAGAGTTGTGCCTCTGTACTACCTTTTGTAACGTTCTGCTCACCCCTCCCCCTAGGGTGTTTCTTATTTTTTAAATTTTCGAAATCGAAGGAGGTCCTGGTCTTAAAAGTTGATGTGTGGATAGATTAGAAGCCCTGTGCAAGGAAAAAATTTTAAAACAATTTTTACCCGGTGCTCAAACGACTTGAGTGACACAGGTTAAAATTTGAGGTTTTTAGACAAAATAACACTGTTTTCTAGTGGAAAACGCCGAGTTACGGCCCGAAAGGTCGAAAATTTCGTCCGTTTGGTCGTATCTGCAACACAAAACACCCGAGAAAGGTGCGCGCAAGGAAAGACACTTGGGGCAAAATGGACGCGCCGCAGCGCAACGCGCGCGCGCGTCCTCTGCACTGCCCAAGCGACATGCCGCATGCCGCACATACGCACTAAGCTTACGCTGGCCCGAAAGTTCCCGTACGTTGCAATGTATCATTATGAATTGACCTAGATACACACTAACATTAAAAAAAAGGTTGAAACGTATAAATACATCTAAAAAACACATTCTCTTAATATGATATTGGCTATAATGTAGGAAAATCAATTTCAACAAATTAAACAATTCAAAGTTAATCAACTAAATCAAATAATCGACAGTTTACTTAAAGGCTAAGAGTCTTCAAATGTTTATCCGACTATTTGTAATATATTTGGATGGTTTTATTGACTTTGGCTGTGACTTATAAGAGATCATGAAAAGAAGCTCTTGTTCGTATCGGGAGTTGGCAATTCAAGTACTGATTCCTTTGTAAATAAACTTCGCGTGAAACAAGATGGTTTCAGTATGGTTTTCTCTGAAACAAACCCCAAAACTTTAAAAAAAAAAACTCCCTCAGGTAAGGGCGTATTTAAGGAGATATCCCCGCTTTCCCGTGAGTCCTTCGTATTAAGCCAAACTTTCTATGCAAGGATAAGGAGCAAATCGACGGCGTAAGTTCGCAATCACGTATCTCGTTTGCGGTGTCTGTAAATCTCCGTCTTTATGTTATTTTTTAAAGGAGAACAAACTGATACCATTCCTTGAAGTTTATGCAGAATTTTGTTTGCACAGAGATGAAAAATCACGGTAGTTTAAAGAATTGCCGTTGAGTAGTTTTCCGTTTAAAAAGTATAGTAGGTATGACAGGAAGTCTGCGACGTCACAAACCGAGTTGTGTGGTTGCTGACTTACAACGTCGAAATGAATCAGCAGGATTGCCATGTTTTCAGTTTTGGAAACCCCAAACAAAGTGGCTGCCCTGTCAATGTATTATTTGCTCTTTGCGTGGAGAGTTTGACTTGATACAGTGGCGGACTCTCAGGATGGAATGGGACATTCCCTCCATTACAGCATCAACTTTAAGAGTTTTTTTTTCAGTTTTGGAGTTTGGCTCGGAGGAAAACGGTGAAACCATCGTGTTTCTCGCGAAATTGTACATATGAATCAGTACACAAATCGCTAATTCCTGACATATGCAAGATCTCCATCACCTTCCGATGTTACCTATCCTCCTGTTGTGCGCGGGCATCACTTTAATTTTGCGTGCAGCATGATCATTAACAACTTTTATGACTTAACTACAGTAAAAGCTCGTTAAGACGAAAAATGAATTTTTTTTACATCGACAATGATGGAAGTATCAAAGGACCGAAAAAATTTCGTCTTAAGCGGATTTGCGTCTTAACCGTATTTCGTCTTAACGAGCTTTTACTGTACTTTTTTTTAACCTCTAAATATTCGGAAGTAAATAGCCATGGGGCTGGGTAAGAGTCTAGAAATGAAAATGGCAAATTCATGATATTGAAAAAAGGCTGTGCTGTTGGTTGTGAAGAGGACTGGCATTACCCGGCATTCTTCAGCGTATAGGTACATATTGAGGCGGACATCTGCCATATTGGAAAAATAAAAAATGACCCCAAAAAATGATCTGGAGGTCATCGCAGACCTCAAGAAGTTTCGCAGCTTTAATGAGAGTACCTACAGCAGCTAGTGTTGCGTTCCGTAATTTATCCGGCCACGTATGGTACCAATGTAAGTAAAAGTTTGGTTCCCTTGGCATAATTGATGAGAGATTGTCATCGGACACCAAAAGAGTCTTTGTTCACAACATGAAACACAATTTAGGGTTTCCTAATCCGCCTATCCGCCAGAACGTACAATTTAACTGATGTCTAGGGTCACAATTGAAGACAATTATTTTCATGATCTCTTATAAGTTATAAGTCACAGCCAAAGTCAATAAAACCATCCAAATATATTAAAAATAGTCGGATAAACATTTGAAGACTCTTAGCCTTTAAGTAAACTGTCGATTATTTGATTTAGTTGATTAACTTTGAATTGTTTAATTTGTTGAAATTGATTTTCCTACATTATAGCCAATATCATATTAAGAGAATGTGTTTTTTAGATGTATTTATACGTTTCAACCTTTTTTTTAATGTTAGTGTGTATCTAGGTCAATTCATAATGATACATTGCAACGTACGGGAACTTTCGGGCCAGCGTAAGCTTAGTGCGTGTGTGCGGCATGCGGCATGTCGCTTGGGCAGTGCAGAGGACTCGCGCGCGCGTTGCGCTGCGGCGCGTCCATTTTGCCCCAAGTGTCTTTCTTTGCGCGCGCCTTTCTCGGGTGTTTTGCGGCTTTTGTGTTGCAGATACGACGAAACGGACGAAATTTTCGCCCTTTACGACCGTAACTCGGCGTTTTCCACTAGAAAACAGTGTTATTTTGTCTAAAAACCTCAAATTTAAACCTGTGTCACTCAAGTCGTTTGAGCACCGGGTAAAAATTGTTTTAAAATTTTTTCCTTGCACAGGGCTTCTAATCTATCCACACATCAACTTTTAAGACCAGGACCTCCTTCGATTTCGAAAATTTAAAAAATAAGAAACACCCTACCTCCCCCTCGTATAAAGGTTTCTTTCATGAATTTTGGACGAAAATTTGCCACCTTGGGGCAGTATACAGGGTGTTTCATCATTCCCCCCCCTCCTCTAACTTTTGAACCGTTCAAGATACAAAAACTTAACTTGGGGAATGATTTTATCTCAGAAGTAACTATCTTCTAAGGATTTCAAAATGTTGGCCCCTCCCTCGGGGGGGGGGGGGGGGGGACCTTTTTTTAAATGGTTTTTACGGAATCGGCCCGGACGTGAAAATAAGAGGTTTTTTTTAGCGTTCCAGCGCTTTGCAGGCGATAACTCGAGCTGAAGTTGACGAAACCCTATGATGTTATACATATTCTGAAAGCTCTCGTCACGCTAAAAACGCTCATCTAAACCGCGTTTTTGAAAACTTCTTGGTTTTTGAGTAGCATATTCCCAAAAATTTTCCTGTTTTGTAACTTTGATTCCCCACCGCGTCTCCCCAAAATTTTTGGGGGGCTTGAAACTTTGAAAAAATCGGGCACTGTTTGGAGGACGACCGGGGCAAGTCTCAAAGGTATCCCCCCCCCCCCCNCCCCCGAGCCCAAAATGGCCTGCTTCGCACGTACTCCTTTAAGTTTGTTTGAGCTTCCCGCTTCAAAAACGATACTACGGCTTAGGTGAACATTTCATTAGAGGAGTCGTTCCACCCAACCCTTTCGCAACAACAATACCCAACAATCCCAACATAGCCGACGCTTCCGCGTGCAAATCATAATCGGGAGTACAAGGTCAATCAAAGCTGAACTTTATCAACGCGAAGAAATCGTGTAAACACGTTGGTTGTAAACAAATGGTTAGAATCTCGTCCAGCACATGTGTTCTAGCGGATTGGAGTCGGCCATGTTGAATATTATGTACCTAGTATCCTAAAGGACAGGAGTTGGATCAAAGACATGAAGACGGAGCGCTAAAAGCAAAAAATGAAGCTGATTTTCAACCACCTCTACTATTGGCTAGGGGAATGGCGGCGAAATCGGGACAAGTTTGAAATTCAAATGTAGGGCGGGAACTAAATAAAATTGCGGAAACATAGTATTCTCGGTTGATTTTTGCCCAAACTCACTTACCCACTCATATTTTTTTAACTTTAGGTTAGTTTTGGTCCGCTGTCGACCGATTAATTTCATTTGGGAGTAACGGTTATCTAGGACTATGACGGCCTGTTTGAACCGGCAGGACCACCGTGAGCAGAAGAAAAACTAACTTTATTTAAGATTACTACCTGTTACCAAGAAAAAGTAAGAGTATTATACAAAGTCGCAGTCTCAACTTCCTTAAGTAATACATTCGTTTTAGGCATTTAAAATACGTTTAGAAGAAGTAATGTGGAAAAATCAAGAGGACAAGTTCAAATCAAATTTCCGTTTGCCGCCATGGATTCCTGCGCTCATTTACACACTCACACAAGCACCTAGCGCAAAACCAGGCTTCACTTTTTCCCCGTGCTTTTAGATACGAGCACTCCGTCTTTATGTCTTTGAGTTGGATAGAGCGACACCTCTAACGAAATGTTCACCTGTGCCGTAGTATCGTTTTCGAAGCGGGAAGTTAAAAAAAACGCAAATTTCTAACGCAGGTTGAGAAGTTAAGAGTGCGGTTCAAACTTTGCCAATGCGCTCATCGTAATTTTTGAGACATTTACTGATAGAAACAACTCTTATTTTTGCTCTAGCAAAAGTTTGCGACAGGTCCATTTTACTTAAAACTCCAGTTCTCATTGACTCTTAGAAAAATACCTCTGAAGACCATTGTCTCTGAGACGATGTCAATTTTTGCACACTTATAGCTTGTTTATAGGTCTTGTTTTTGTTGAAATAAGACGAATTTTTTTGTTTTAGCTGTTTCAGCGATATCATCTAAAAGAGATTAGACGAATCTTGCGAAAAACTCAATTTATAAAAATTGAGCGTTACTAAACTCTTCATCATCACGGCAGTGCAGCTAGGATTATGAGCAAGTTTTGTTTGGGTTCCAAAGCCACTTCAGATTATCTTTTCATTCAATCATCATTTTGTTTTTAATTTTTTTTTCCTGGAAAAATATAGCATGAATGAGTAAAACAAAAAATGAGTTTCCTGCAGAAGGTGACTAAATCGTAGCAATATTGCATGACTAAAAGGTTCACCTTTGTTAGCCGATTTTCAAAAAATATTTTCAAGATTTCAAAAAATAAAAAGGCATGGAGGCACTAACCATTGATCATTTGTTTAGAACTGATTTTAAGGCTCTCTTCAAATGCTCTTCCCCATTTAATAAGTGAGAGAATGTTTTTGTTACATTTTACGACAGCTTTGAACAGCAGATCTGCAATCAACCCTAAAAGTGAAAATAAAGAAAGAAAACGATGAATTAGGTGAAAATAGAAAACAATTACAATTGAATAGAAGATGATAGAATAAAATTTGAATGCGTTATAGCTGCCGAGGGAGAAAGAAGTATCCACCAAAGGGGTCTCCTCCAGCAAAGAGGAAATAGTCATGAGGTGACCTTTTCCCGTCCAGCCCTCCGGTCGGAGGGCAGGGGGTCCGATGTCAAACGTACCGTCCACCATAATTTTTGAATAGAGCAACCAATCAGCTTGATCTTGGGCATAAATTGGAGTTTTCATTCAAACTCCAATCAGCCTATGATTTCTCACGACTGCTATGGTTATTATTTGACAATCTCACTAAAAACGAAAGACTTGTCATTAAAATTCTCCTCTAGGACACTAAAAGGTCCATTTTCTCAAAACTTGAGATTTGCACTTACGGCTCTCTTCGCTATCACGGCAGCGCTGCCGGGTGCCGTGCGGTCCGTCGAATTCGGGTGCGCCCGGACTGCTTCGGCAGTTTCGTGCGTTGTAACCTATCAGAGCTCGAGTTGGGTTCACTGGGCGCTGGCGACCAAAAATTACAACAACACCATAACATGGACTTGTTACTATCACTTTTCTAATCTCAACTAGCGCTGTGTTTCAGTTTATGATCAAGATACGGTTCTGAACACCTTTCGGCATGATTTCCGACAGTATTTTCCAAGGAAAAAAGATAATTTAGACACTTTAAATAGCACAAAAGATCATACTTCGGCTCGGTAAACATACTCGGTACATACTCGGTATCAGAGCATAAAAATGGTGAAGGATTCTCACCCTCTCCCTCTTGGACTCTACTTTTTTTATCAACCCCTCCCTTTTTTTCCATGTTTCTATATTTTTTTTTTTTTTGCTTCTCACACCTTTAACGTCGGTTCCTAATCACGTATAACCTCCATTCGATAGATACACACTAGTCTAAAGTTGGCTGCAGGTGCTTAGACACAAAGCCATTTAATAGCAGGAAAAAAAAAAAAAAAAAACTCCAGGCAGGCTTGCCTATGCTTGCCCCTCTGTTGCGGGATACAGCTCATTGGCGAAACCAAGCAAATCGAGGATGCTCATTCATGGGTCACTTCAAGGTGGCTGCACAACCGCGCTCTTATACGCGGTGTTTTCCCAAAGAGAAAACAAGAGTCCGGACGTGAATTGCGGAGCGAGTGGCACCCCCTACTTTAGACGAGTCGTCTCTGATTGGCTGATTCGCCTGGTGCCGACTTTCTGGAGCCCTTATGCAAAATAACACGGGGTTCATTTTCCATCGAAAGTATCCCGAAAACAAGGAAAAATTTATGTGTCCAAAATTCCAGAAATCGATTCTCCAGATTTTTCTGAAGAGATTGATGGGTAAAACATGACACTTTTTTCTCAAACACGCGGAACAGCTCGACTTGGAAATTTTTTCTTTTCAACTTGAAATATGGCACCCTCCGGTTGTTTACTGACACCGGGTCAGCTGATAATGAGCACCAGCAGTTCTCCATCTGAAATTTGACAAATTTTCAATTTAAAATCATCTTTTGTGACTTAAAATGGTTTTTTGTCTTTCAATCAGTATTGTCTTAATACCTCCTCACTTCAGTTTCTCAAGTTTATCGCGTTTCTTCATTGTTCCTTTCGCTCTTAATAGTTGAAGCTGAAGCCAAGTAGCTCGTCGGTTTGATCTGCTTTTTTTCCTCGTAGAGGATTTTATTGTGTCTTTCATTCCAGTCTCAGCTTTAGCAGTGTTACTTTTCCATCATAAACACTTACTTCGGTAATAATCAAAGCTTACATTTCAGTTCTGTGTCTGCGTCAGGAATCGTTCTCTGAGAGCAGCATCTCATGACAGCAGCATACAGATGGAGATTATGCTTGTTTTATGGTTGTATTTAAACAACTTGTGCTCTAAATTTATCGTTGAAGTGACAAATGGTGTGAATTACTGTGCCCAAAAGCTTAGTGTAGGAACTTTCAGCACCTGCCTCAGTGTGAGCGGTCCTTTGTTGCTGTCAAAGCTGCTCATTGATGACAGTTTCTCAAAGGAAAAGTCTTCGATGGATCAAGGAAAATTGTCTCCCTGAAATAATAGTATACACCCTTCCGTCATGAAAATCTCAAAATTTATTCCTCGCTTCAAGTTTGAGACCATTTCTTAGTTTTATCCTTGGTGTTGCGGTGTCATCGGAAGTGCACAATTTCTGTATGAACAGTTCATGGTGAGTATGATTTGGAATATTTTGATTGCCACTAATCACGGTATGTGACGTTACAGACTTCCTGTCATACTTGATTTTTTAAATGAGAAATCACTTGACGGGAGTTCTTAAAAACTGCCGTGATTTTTCTTCTCTTTATGAAGAAAATCCTGCAGGAACTTCAAGGAATGATGTCGATTTGTGCTCTTTTATTAAAAGAAAATAGGAGCTGAGATTTTCAAACACTGTAAGCAGTTTCAACCATCTGCTCTGCTGCAAAGATAATTTGAATTCAAATCATCCTATGAATAGAATGCCATGCATTCGGAAGGGGTGAGGTTTCATTTGCCTGGGGAGGCGCATTACAAATTCACTGCCAATGGAGTCCCTGTTTTCTTTACACAAGTGTATTTTAATATTGAAGTAGTTACGGATTAACTTCCTAAAAGCTAAATTGTTGCCGCCGCACCGGTAAAAAAAAAAAAAAAAAAAAAAAAAAAAAAAAAAAAAAAGAGTTGGTGTCAGGTCGCTGCGCCACTAGCGAACCCTGTAGGCATCACGGCGAAGCAAGTAGCCACGCCACGGCCGCGCTCTGTCGGCGAAGCCGCAAAACCTTTGGTTTCTGAAGCTCTAACTGTACAGCGCGTGCACGACGACTCGGTGCTCGTGCGTTGTCAAACCGCACGACTTTCTGGCTTTAATAGAAATTCGAATGTTAGTCTTTCTTAATTCTACATTCACAAATCGCCACGGTAAGTATTGTAAAAATCAGTGGAAAAGAAAAACCAATTTTAGAAGTTTCTTCTTCTGTATGTTTATGCGGATAAAGTCAAAGACAACCTACTGAAGGAAGTATTGATTCCGTTGTTTCTGAAATCTCTCTTCACAAAAACTTTTCACCGTTTTTTCGCCCACCATGGCGAATAAAACAAATCACGTCAATTAAAACTGGGGAAAAGGTTGAAGCACCTTTTTTCCACCCCTCCTTTTTTCCTGGAATCTTTCTCGCGAAAGTTTATTCAGGGTTTTTTTCGCTCACCATGGCGAATAAAGATCACGTCAATTAAAAACTAGGAAAGGTTAGTATAGCACTTTGAAGCTAAAACGCCTTCTCCGCTCACTGAATGCTCTCTTCGCGCAAGTGTTTTGAGTTTTCTTCGCGCACTATGGCGAATAAAAAGAACCTAAATAAATTTGCATCGATCCAAATAAAATCTCAAATAAAAAATTAGTGCACCTCAAAATTTTACCTCCGCTTTATTTCTCCCTCAAAGAAAATCAGAGTCCTTCTTCTAAAAATTACGAAACAACATTAATCAGGATTAAATTAAACCAGCTTCCGCATTTATGCGAGCATCAATAACTAAGTGCGCTACTATCTATGTAGCTCCTCCCTTCATTTTTACTGGCTCTCAGTTAACATCCGCGTCCCGCGCAAAGATTAGTCACGCGCGGGAAATATGAATGAAGGAGAAAACCATTTTTTTGAATTTCCCGCGCGAACACCACTCCTCTTTGGCTCGCTGCGTAGTCGAAGCTCCGCCGAGCAAAATTCGAGGAGCCAATGAAATCATTCCAGCCTTGACCGTGCTTACGCACAGAACCCGCCGCTCCCTTTCCCCTCCCGCCTAGCCAGCGCTTGCCATCGTTAAAACTAGCACGCAGAGAACGGCACTTTCGTTCCCTCTACTTTAGATCACTTCTAATAGCTACCTTCTTCACAAATCTACCATAAAACCTTTCAATATACACCTGAATTCACTTTATATCAGTATTTAAGTACCCGAGGTTCCGCGTGTAACTGCTCATTGTGACCATTTGATGAGCTTCTCTTATTCTCCGCACACAATTTTCCACGGAACTGTTGCATTTTCTGAGAAATACTCATTGAGAGCTATCAATTACAATTATTAAAAATGCAGAAAGTCCAGATCCAAGATTAAAAACACCAGTTTATTCACTCCGCCGTTAGCACAAAACAGCCCAGCGGCGCGTCATCGGTCGGCCGAATTCGAAGCTTTGTTCCTTTCAGTGTTCCCGGGTATTCCGTGTGCGAGATCCGTACGCTCTACCGCTCTCCGTGCTGCTATTGGCCGAGCATCATTCTGTGACGTCACGCGTACGGATATTTTAAGATAGGGAGGTGTTTTTCCCATAAAGTTTTTGTCCGTACGCGGTCCGTGTCGGTATAGGGAATGTCCGCGCGGCACGGATATATCCGTACGCTTGGGATCACTGGTTCCTTTTGGCTCTTGCGCGGTCATAGAGTACCCAGGGACCAGCTCCTATCTTCACTTGTGTCTCACCGGCCGGACTGGACGGATCTCCCTTGGAACTCACTTGGACTGGACTCTCTCTCTCGTCTTGGAAATTGGAACTCGGACTTTTATGAAGAATAAGGACTCTCTCTCAGCTTCGGCCATGGATCAAGGAACTTGCGAATAATCAAGAAGGCGCCGTTCTTGTTTAGTAGCGGAGGCTTTTGCCCGCTTGAAGAACGAGTTTGGGATCAACCCTGGCGACTCACACCTTGGGCTAAGGTCACTGAGGATCATCAAGAAGACGCACGTTTCTGGCCTTGCACGAAGAACGAAGTGGGAGTTCGCAGGTCAAACCTTTTGGCTCCCCTTTTTTACGAAGTGGCTTTCCTCCCCAGTCCAGCGGAGCAGTTCTGAGACCAAGTCAAGGACGTGGAAAAGTGTCATATCTTATGACAAAATAGCTCAATAAGCTATCAAGTGATGCTTCGTTAGTAAAATTTTTCTTTTCAGCATTAACAACTT